GGAAACTGAGGCTAGAGGCAGGAAAGTGACTTCTTGGGAGTCACAAAGCCCCACAGGCTGGGAACTGGAGTCAGAACCAGGGGAGCAGGGCTCCAGGACTGGCGCGCTGAGCCCCCTCGGGGCAGGGCCCTCCCCTCTCTGGACTGTGCGGTGAGGGCCGGCTCCTGGGTCACGGCCAGCATCCCCGCTCCCAGCACCAGATTTGCCTTTGTGGAGTCACCTGCTGCAGTCCCAGCCAAATGGCCCAGGAGGGGGCGCCAGCCGATAAGAAGCACCTGACCGTCAGCAAACCAGGAGTCGGCCCCGAGACTTTTGTGGGGAAACTGACACCCAGGTCCTGACCAAGCCCGAGGGGAGGGGTGTGAGCCTGGAGCTGCAAGCGGCTCCTGCCCAAGGCCAGCCCCAGGGGACACGGAGCCAAGAGGGGCAGCAGCAATTCCCTGTGCTATTGTTGGAGGCCCTGGATCCAGCCATGCCTGAACTCCTCCTCCTCGATAAGATAAAGCTGGTTTAAGCTGCGCGTCTGTCGTTTGCAGCAGACAATACCACCTTCCAGTAAGCCCGTTCACAATTTACTCAAGTGCGGCCTCTAGGACTCAGAGCAGCGGGTTCTGCAGTGTCTGTAGGAGGCATGCGCACCCGGATGTGCCAACCTCTGCCTCCAGGATGCTGGCTCCTCGAGCCAGAAGGATGGCTGGTACAGACTCTATGTCAGCTTAGTGCCCGAGAGCTGGGGCTGTGGGAGGCCAGGTCCTGTGGGTTCTCTGATGGGGCATGTGATGCTGATAAGCGAGGAGGCCCTGTAACTCCCCCGTCGCCTGTGCCCTCGCCCTCCCACGCCACCTACGGCTTCCCCTGGACTCCCCCACGGAGTCCAGGCCTGCTCCATCCATGCCCCTTCCCACAGCAGCTCTTCCACACCGCCCCCAGGGGTCCCCCTCCCTGCAAAGGGACCCAATTTCATGCAGGAATCGGCAGCCACGTTAGCAACAAGAGGCAGGGCCCGCCCTCAACCCCAAGCTGACTCCTGATTGGCGGACAAGTGATGCCAGCCCCTCCTCCTTGCTGGCCATTGGTTCAGACACAATCATGTGACCCAGCTCTGACCAATGGCAGGAGGGATGGCCTGCTGGGGCGGGGCATCGAGGAAAGACAGACGTGGGGCTGACTTTCTGGACATGACTCACGAGAGCTCGATGTATTCATCTCCTGTTGCAGCTCTGACAAATCACCACAAATTGAGCTGCTGGAAATAGCAGAAATTTATTAGTTTCTAATCCGGGAGATCAGGAGTCCGACATGAGTCTCTCTGGGCTAAAATTGGAGACGTGTCTGGGGCCATTCTTGGGGTGATGGCAATGCTCAGTGCCCCGCTGAGTTGTCATTGAGTGAATAAAGGACGGTCTTGTCCCTGCCAGGACAGAGGTGGAGGGACCCCCCCCCCCCGCCGTCCTTTCCCAGGAGGCAGCCTCCGCCAAGCCTTGAAGCTGCCACCGTGGGCGAGCGGCCGCCTCCCTGGGCCTCGGGTGGACTAGCCGTGGCTTCGTGTCTGCGGCCGCGGATCCCCCGACTTGGTGAGTGTGCGCCTGGCTCGGGGACGAGGCCGCCACCTTTGGAAACACCCCTGGGCGTGTTTGGGATAGAGGGTGAGGGGGCTGCCCCTTTGCTGGAAACCCTGCACACACAGCTCCGGGGGCAGAATGACGACCGCGGTGCGTCTGGGGTCTGGGCGCGAGTGAGTGTGCTGTTCCAGAAGCTCATCTGCAGGTTCAAGTCGCTTCACAGCCGTTAGCGACGCTCAGAGGCCTCGGTCGGGAGGATGGAGCCGGCCCCGTCCCCACGGCCCGGCCCCGTCCTGAGGTCTTGGTCTGTGGGATCCACAGCCAGCGAGGAACCGGGACCCAGACCCGCAGGTTCAGTCCATCAGGACGTGGCCGCCTTGTGGACAGCGGCCTCGGGGCAGCGGGGGCTCCGGGTCTGGGTGTGGCCGCCCGAGGGGCCAGGTTCACAAAAGGCCGATTGAACAGAACCCGGAGGCCTGGCCGCCTCGAGGCCCCTTCCTGGGTGTTTGCCCCTCAAACCAGAAGAAGAGAAAACCACAAAAAACAAGAAGTGTCGGCCAGAGAGTGGAACAAACCAAAATACGTGAAATAAAAAGTGAAAAATAAAGAACAACACAACCCAAAATATCCGCAAAATCAGAATCAAAACATGCAAACAGAAAAAGAAATACAAAATACAAAACAAAAGTGTGACTAAAGAGAAAAAGACAAAATATATAAATAAAAGAAAAATAAGCAAAAGTGCATAAACATATGGTGGCCTATTCGTACCTGCAGGAATATTCACACCTGTGATGATGTTTACACCGATAGGAATTCACACCCATCAGAACATTCACACCTGTAGGAATATTCACATCCATAGGAATATTCACACCTGAAGGAATGTTCACAACCATCAAATATTCACACCTGTAAGGAATGTTCACACCCACAAGAATATTCACACCTGTAGGAATATTCACACCTGAAGGAATATTCACACCTGAAGGAATGTTCACACCCATCAGGATATTCACACCTGTAAGAATGTTCACACCTGAAGGCATGTTCACACCAATGGAATATTCACACCTGTCAGAATGTTCACACCCATCAGGCCATTCACACCTGTAGGAATGTTCATACCCATCAGAATATTCACTCTTTTAGGAATATTCATATCTGTGGGAATGTTCACTCCTGTAGGAATACTGACACCCACAGGAAAATTCACACCCACTGGAATATTCATACCTGTGGGAAATGTTCACACCTGTGGGAATATTCACACCTGTGTGAATGTTCACACCTGAAGGAATGTTCCCTCCTGTGGGGATTCGGCCGGGAGGGGCTGTGGCTTCTCTCCAGCCCCAGAGGCCGCTCCCCGAGGCCTGATTCCAACCCAAATCAGTGAACACGTGGAGCCTCAGGGCGCTCAATGCTGCCAGTGCACCACGTTCATCGTGGCTCTGTCACAACCCCCATGCAATGTTCCAGCCTGAGAGAATGAAACGAGTGCTCCACGGCTCATCCAGTCCTAAAACCCTGGCAGGCAGGTTCTGCCACCTGCTCAGAGAGGTTAAGCTACTTCCCAGGGTCACACAGCCAGGGGGGCTTGGTGGGATTTGAACGTGAAATGAGCCAGAGACCGGGCATGAGGCCTGCGGCAAGCGACCTGGGGTTTCCTGGATTCCCAGGGACGGGGCCTGCGTGCTCTCTGGCGGTCAGAGCCGGAATGGCCTGGACTCACCCCTGAGCCTTGCAGGGGACCACCTGTGGTTGGCAGACCGCTCTCCGTCCGCAGCCGCTTGGCCTTCAACACCCTTTATAGACAGGCTCCAATTCTTAATTCCTCACACCCTGGCTCCAACGCTCCCTTCTGCAGGGAGCCCAACTCCAACCAACTCCTACTCATTCCTCAGAGCCCTGGCTCCAAGGCCCCTTTCCCTAGGAAGCCCTGTCTGTCTCCCCAGGCAGAGCCAGGCCCACCCTAGGCTCGACCCTAGGACTGGGGGCGTCTGACGCAGCTGTCCCCCCACGGGTCCGGCATGCAGCCAGTGCTCCGTGGATGTCCGCTGGGTGGACAAAGACATACACGCGCGGTTGGACTGACACTCAGGGGCATCCCGGCCTGCGCTGGGTCACGGTTTCTATTAATTTTGGGGGGCGGTTAGGTTTCCTCCGCGCTCCCCCTCCCAGAGGCCCCCAGGCTGTCCCACCCCAGAGCATCATGGAAACAAGGCCACGCCCGCAGGCCTCCGACTCTCTTCCCCCGTGGGTCACACTGCGGCCCGGAGGGCAGCCGACCCCCAGACCCAGGAAAGGCCCTCCCGTCCGCATTCGCGCCACTCGCGTTCACGGAACGCCTGAGTCCGGCCGGGAACAAGATGCAAAATCTCTTCTGCGGTGCGGCTGACCCTACAGCTTATCAGGTGGAAACGAGCGCTGCTGAGGACGGCTTCTCGGCAGGTGAGACGTTTGGGCGAAGACTTGAAAGAGGTGAGGAAGGGAGCCACGCCAGTGTCTGGGAACGGTGCACCCGGCGGAGGCACAGCCAGTGCAAAGGCCCGGGGGTGAGGGCGCGCCCGGCGACCCAGGAGCAGTGAGGACGCAGAGGGGACAGAATGGTGGGACCTCACCCGGGAGAAAGAATGAGGGCAGCGGGGGTCTTTATGGGTTTTGGAGAAGAGGAGGGGAACGACCCCGCCCCGCGCAGGCCCCGCCCCTCGTCCTCTTTCGCAACCTCGGGGACCGGCCCCGCCGCCAGCTCCAATCCCACGTCCTGATCCGGGTTGCCAAGGAGCTAGGCCCCGCCCCTCGCAGGCCCCGCCCCTCACTCTCTTCCGCAACCTCGGGGACCGGCCCCGCCGCCACCTCCAATCCCACGCCCGGATCTATGTTGCCAAGGAGACTCGGCCACGCCCCCGCAGGCTCCGCCCCCGACCTCTACCGCAACCTGGGTAACTGGCCCCGCCCCCAGCCGCAATACCGCGCCCAGATCCAGGTTGCCAAGGAGACTAGGCCCCGCCCCTCCGCAGGCCCCGCCCCTCGTCCTCTTCCGCAATCTTCGGGCTGGGCGCTGCCGCCAGCTCCAATCCCACGCTCGGATCCATGTTGCCAAGGAGACTCGGCCCCGCCCCGCGCAGGCTCCGCCCCTCGGGCTCTACCGCAGCCTCCGGCCCAGGCCCCGCCCTCAGTCTCAACCCCCGTGCCGTGATCCGGGTTGCCAAGGAGACTAGGCCCCGCCCCACGCAGGCCCCGCCCCTCGTGCTCTTCCGCATCCCCCTGGGCTGGCCCCGCCCCCTGCCCGTTTCCCCTCTCGAGGATCGCCCTCCCTAGTTTGCTCCTCGGCGGCCACCGTCGCCGCGGCCTCCTCTCGCCGCGCGCCCCGCCTGTCCCGCGTCCGCGCGCGCCGCCGCACGCCGCGCCTGGCGTGCGTGCCGTGCGTGAGCGTGCGCGGGCGCGTCGGCCGGCGAGGGAGCAGCAAACGGCCGGCGGCGGGCGCCGCGCGGGGGGCCGGCGGCGCGGAGGAGGCGGCGGTGGCCATGGCTGAGGCGTCGCCGCAGCCTGGACGGTACTTCTGCCACTGCTGCTCGGTGGAGATCGTGCCGCGCCTGCCGGTGAGGCCCGGGCGGGAAACTGAGGCCCGCGGGGGCGCGCGGGCCGCGGGAGGCGGGCGCGGGGGCCGCTCCGGGCGCGTGGCCGCGCCGGCCCCGCCGGTGGACGGCGGCCAGGCCCCTGCCCGGTGCCCCCTGCCCGTTCGGGCCCGACGGCGGCGGCGGGCGGAGGTCCGCTGGGCGCGGGCGCGGGGGCGCGGGTCGGGACGCCGGGGTCCTCCGCCGCGGGTGGCCCGGGGACGGCGGCGCTGCTGGGCGGGCGGGGAAGCCGGGGCGCCGACCTCCGCCGCGGGCCGGCCGCGGGGGGACGAGGAGGCGGCCCGCGCACCGGGAGAGGGGCCGCCGGGCGCGGGGCCCCTCGCACCTGCCGGGCGCGCTCCGGGTCCCCGATCTCCCGCCGTCGCCGGGTTCGAGGGCGGCGGGGCCGTTTCGGTCTCGGAGCCGGACCCTTGGCCTGCGCGCCCGGCGGTGGGGGTCCCTGGAGGCGGGCTTGCTGCTGGAGGCTGGGGGCGTCATCCCAGCCCCGCGCAAGGGGCGCGAGCTGCAGTCCGGGTTTGGGGTGCAGAGAAGGGACCGGCGGGGCAGCTCCCCGCCCTGCAGAGGGGAGAATAGAAGCAGGGCCGGGGGTGAGCGCTGAGTCGGGGGGCTGGGACCTGCCCTGCTCCCCTGCAGCCTCCCGGAAGTCCTGTTTCTGCCTCTTCCGGCTTCCTGTGCCCGGGCCTCGGGTCTGCGCCCCGATGGTGGCAGGCAGGGGCCTGTCTCCCGCCCTGCGGCCCCTCGCAGCTGCGTGAGCCCCAGGACGGCCCAGGTCTCGGGATCGCCCCACAGCGGCCCGTCCACAGTCCCCGGGAGGCCCGGGCCGTGGCTCTGCGGCCGGCCTGGCTGGCTGCGTGCACGGCCACCGTTTTGGGCCTCCCCTGCCCGGGCCTGCACAGGGCCTGGTGTGGCCAGCTCCTGGCCATGTGGCCTTGGACCCGGAGGACCCTGACCTTTTCTGACTGTCACTGGGCCCGGGAGGAACTTCCTTGTCGTGGAACCCGATAGCGACAAGGTAGCCGTGATCTTTGCCCCCAGCCAGGTGCCAGCGTAGAGCAGCCACGGCAAATGTCTAGTCAGGAGAGTCGAGACGTTCAGCTGAGCGGGCCGGCGGGAGGGGCTTTGGGTGGGTTTGGAGTAGGTTTCGGGGAGGCCTGCCCGGTAGGGACACACGTGGTGTCCTGGGGGAGGAAGGTAAGCCGGCGGCGGGGGCGGGTCCCTGCCAGCACTCGAGCCCCTGGAACAGGCTTCTGCTGGCGGGAAGCTGGCGCTCTGAGCTGGGGGAAGGCAGAGCTGGGGGAAGGCGGGCGGGTTCCTGTGATGCTCCTCCCACCCTGAGACGACTGGCTGCTATCAGGGGCATCTTCTCACGCTCCTGGACAGGGTGGGCGCGCCCGCTCAGGGGGCGTCTCCACAGCAGCTGGGCCCTGGGCTCGGCCGTGGCACCCCACGGAGGCCGCCCCCAGCTCACTGCGTCCCAGCTGCGTGTCTCTGGGTGTGGCGCTCAACCTCCCTGGGCCTCGGTTGATGAGATAATCCAGGTGCATTTGGGGGGTCCAGGGGAGCGCATGTGGGACCCCCAGACGCACAGGGAAGGGCAGGCGGCCGGCTGGGCGGGCATGTGGCAGCAGGAACCAGATGGGCCGGCTGGCACACAGGCCTGGACTCGATCTTCCCAGGATGTGAGAGCGCTGGGGGCAGGGTGCATGGCTGGTTTGGTGCCCGGACAGCAGGGCGTGGATGTGGAGCCTCGGCGGCAGGGTCTGCCGTGCTCACGTCCCCGGGGCTCACCCAGAGGCCAGGCCTAAGTCAACGCAGGTTCCTGCCGGGGGGTGAGCGGGCGCCGCGTCCCTCACGCCCGAGCTCCTCGTCATGGCAGATCCTACGGTGGCCTCTCCATGCCATTGTCCGTGTGGGTGAAGTGTCCCTGAGCTCACGGGCAGGTGGGGGACGGCCAGGCGCGGGGTCAGCACATGTGCCGGGTGTGTGCGCGACAGATGCAGGGGTGGCACGCGGCCTCCGGCAGCCCATGGGGTCCCCGACGTCTGGGGGCAGACAGGCGTGCACATGCTGCGCTTGGCCCAGTGACAGCCGGCCAGCATTGCCCTTCGGTCCGGGCAGGTCTCTCCCAGTGACGTCTGAGGGGGGAATGTGGGGGTGGAGAGGTCCCTCGCATCATCATTCCCTCGGTCTGCCCCGTGCCCGGAGCCCTGCCACCCCAGTGGCACTGGGAGTGTGATCGCTCAGGGCCATCCGCCTCTCCCGCTCCCGCCTCAGTTTCCCTAGCTTCAGCGTACGCGCCCGGCCGTGGGCCTCCATCTGTGGTGTGCAGGAGTGCGGGCATGCTGGTGGTGCTGTCTCCGAGCGCCGCCGCAGCTGGCCTGGCAGGTGAGCTGGGCAGGTCCTTCCCCTCCAGAGCCCGCGTCCGCCCTGTCACCGAGGAGGACCAACGTGCACCTCCGCATGTGTCTTGGGTGGAGTGCTCAGAGCATTTAGCGTCAGCCTGTGTGTCTGTCCGTCCTGGGTGCTCTGGCTACCGCTGTTACCATGGTGATGGCACTGGGCAGCCCCATTCCCTCCCACCCCCTCCCAGCACAGGGAGAGCCACCGGCCAGAGACAGGCGCCTGCCAGTCAGGGCCTCAGGAGAGGGGCCGTCCCCGCCCAGGAGAGGGTTCTGCTCCCTGGGCACACACCTTGCCCCAGGGTCCCCTGCTGGGACATGGGTTTCTGCCATTGGCCACCCGGACCTCATAAGATCCCTGGGTTGTGCCCTCGGGGGTGAGCACGGCATCTCGGGGGAGACCCCAGATTAGGTCCCTTCCCCACCGCCCGCGAGCAGGGACTGGCTGCCTGGAGTCTGGGACCTGCTGTTCTCCTGGGGACGTGCTCACAGGGCAGGGCGCCAACACAGCCAGCACTTAGGCCTCGGCCCTCGGTCCTCGGCAGCTGCGGATCTTGGAGCCCCGGGGTTGAGGCCGTCTCCACTTTCAGGTGGGGAGACTGAGGCTGGCAGGCGGGAGTGCCATTTGAGCTGAGACCTGACTTCCGCGAGGGGGTGACCAGGTAGATCTGGGGTGGCCGCTCCGCATGGGAACCGTGGCTGTAGGAGCGGCCAGCTGGTGTTGTGACAGGACGCAGAGCGTGGGGTCCAGGGAGGGGACAGACGGCGCCAAGCGACAGGCAGGGAGGGCAGAAGCCTGGGCTCCTCATGCCGCCCTGCCATCCCGTTGCTGGGAGCCTGGACCTTGCTGGGCCCCGAGCCGAGGGCGGTCAGGCGGCCCCTGGTGCCAGGGCCAGGCAGGGCTCAGATTTGTCCATGATTCGCCACATTTAAGGGTCTGATTCCCGGCGTCCTAATTTCGGCCCCGTCTGTCACCCTCCCCGGGCCCTGCTCACAACCCGTGTGGCTGCGCTGCCCGCTGTGTGAGACGGGAACAACAGACGGGGCCGGCGGGAGGGCCTTGGGGAGTGGCCGGCCCAGGAGCCCCACTCCCAGGGATGACCTTCGTGGTTACTCACGGGGCCTCCAGCCGCATGCGCCCACGCTCCTTCTCAGGAGGGCAGAAGGCTGCTGGCCTTGCCGTTGTTTGTGACAGCTTGAGAGATGACCTAGTCGCCTAAGGTGTCCACTTGGGGCCCTGCACCCATCACCTCTGCCAGTTCCAGAACATTCCATTCTCTCCAGCCTTTGGCACCCATGAGCCCCCTCTGTGGATCTGCCTGTTCTGGATGTTTCACGTCACTGGGATCACACGCCGTGTGTCCTTCTGTGTCTGCTGCTCCCCCTGAGCGTCGTGTGTTCAGCTCCGTCCACGTGCAGCTGTGTCAGGGCCTCATTCCTTTTCACGGCTGTGTCATATTCCAGCGTGTGGGGGCACACGTCTGTGGATCCATTCACCTGTCGATGGACACTGGGGTTGTGTCTGGCTGTTGTGCATTGTGCCACGGTGGTGCACGTGTGCAGGTCTGTGTGCAGGTCCATGTGGACACGTGTGCGTTTCTGGCGGGCGCATGCCTGGGAGCGGAATTGCAGGCTGTGGTGACCACTGAGTTTCCTGAGCACCTGCTGACCGTCCCAGGGAGACCGCCCGCCCCCCGTTCCACCTCCTCGATCCTCCAGTACCCAGCACTGGCTCCTGGGTCTGAGCCCGGCCCCCGGTGGGTGTGGACGGGGTCAGCTGGGGTCTGCGTGCGGTTCCCGGGCCTGTCATGCTGAGCCCTTTTCTCGGGCTCGTTGCTGTCCTGAGTTTCCTTTGGAGAAGGTCCACTCTGACCCTGTGGCCACTTTTTCATTGTGTGGGTTGTGTGTTTGTCATTGGACCGCAGGGTTCTTTCACACTCTGGACATGAGTCCCTGCTGCTTGTGGCTCCCGCCTGCCTCCTCGCTCAGCTCAGACGGCGCCCCTTGCCTCTGACGCCCCTTTGCTTTCGGCAGCAGAAGCAGGTGGGACCATGGCATGCGCCGCGGTGCACCTGCTGTCCTCGCAGAGGTGCCCGGCGCTCCCCCAGGAACCCCACAGGGAAGGCCCGTGCATCGCCCGTGGTGTTGCTCTCTGTTGAGGGTGGGCCACCACGAGCTGCGATTCAGGCCCTGGACGTGAACAGCCCGCACTTTCTCACACTCTGCACACGGGGCCGCGCGTGGAAATGTCCCTGGGCAGAGGCAGCCTGGGCTGGTGTCCCGTCCATTTGTGTGGTCTTAGGGACACCTGTGCAGCCCCCGACTGACAACATGTGGCTCGGTTTTGGCGCTGATGTCCCTCCCCATCCCCGGGCTGCCGTGCGCTCTCCGTCTGCCACCTGGCTGGTGGTCTGGGTGGGCCCGTGAAGGTGGGGGCCTTGCAGGGGGTGTTGGCTGTGTGCCTGGGTCTCGCTCCAGCTGGAGGTCGCTGGCCACATGCTGGGGCTGCCAAAAGGTTCTAGAAATGCTGCTGTGGGATGTCCGCAGGCTGGTCCCTCGGCCTGGGTGGTGCTTCCTGCCCTCGGCGGCTGCCTTCCCGGGAGCCGATCTGTTCTGAGAGCCCGAGGCCCTCAGACAGGCGCTCGCCCTGTCTCCGGGGCCGCGTCTCGGCACGGGCATGGGGTCATTTGGGGCATCCTCATGTCCCCTGAGTCAGGAATGTTCACTGGCCTCTTTGCTGCAAGCCTCGTCAGAGCCCCAATCAGCGGGTGGGATGTGGCCGAGTGGAGGCCCTGAAACCCCATGACGTCTGTCACTGAGGGGACTGCAGGCTGACCCTCCGGGCGGTCACGGGGTCCGACCCCAGCTCCTGGCTGTGGGGATGCAGGGATGCAGCTATGGCTGCCGAACATCCGTGCACCGGCCCCGCCAGCCTGGCTCCTATCCGCCACTCCCTGGGGCCAGGCCAGGTGTCCTGCAAGCTGCAGACGCCCCCACATGGCCGGGCCCCCGCGTCGCCCTCACTTGCTCTCCTCCCACAGGACTATATCTGCCCGCGATGCGAGTCCGGGTTCATCGAGGAGCTTCCGGAAGAGCCCAGGTAACACGTTCGGGCTGCGGGGAGCAGGTGTGGCGGGCGGGTGGGTCCCAGGCAGCCGGCAGCAGAAGTCCCTGCTGTCGGGTTCTGTCCAGGGCGCGGGGTGTCCTGCCCTGTCCTGCGGGCCACCCGCCGCTGACTGTGCCGCGTCCCCCAGGAGCGCAGAGAGCAGCTCAGGCCCCTCCACGGCCCCCTTGGACCAGGGCCGGCAGCCGTTCGAGGTGAGTCGGCCCAGCCCCCAGGACACGGGTGGTGCCTCTCACTAGCGGGAGGAGTGGGCACAGCCCCCTGTCGGCAGCCGCGGGCCTCCCTCGGACAGGCTGGCGCCCAGCTCCCCACGGGGTTCCTCTTACCTGCCCCACGCGGGGCTGTCCCTTCTCCCCACCCCCTGGAGCCCTGACCAGCCCAGCATCTGCGCGGCTCCTGCCCGCGGTCACGGCGCCCCGCTCCCCACAGAACGTGGACCAGCACCTCTTCACGCTGCCGCAGGGCTACGGGCAGTTCGCCTTTGGCATCTTTGACGACAGCTTCGAGATCCCCACGCTGCCCCCCGGGGCGCAGACCGACGACGGCAGGGACCCTGAGGGCCGGCGGGAGAGGGAGCCGCACTCCCGCCACCGCTACGGTGCCCGGCAGCCCCGCGCCCGCCTCACTGCTCGGCGGGCCACCGGCCGGCACGAGGGCGTCCCCACGCTGGAAGGGTGAGGGCGGGGCACTCGCGGGGCTGCCAGCCTGCCCGCCCTGCTCAGGCGGAGCAGTGTCCGCCTTCCGGAAGGTTCTGTGGGCTTGGGGGTGTGGGTGCTGGCCCTCGGCTGGTCTCTGGGCAGCACTGCCCGAGCCCACCATGCAGGACGGGGTTCGGGGGCCGGGGGCTGAAGACGCGGCAGCACCTGGGCAGGCTGTGGGCCTCATGTCACTGAGTGCCCCCGTCACCTTGCTGAGAGGGGTCTGCACCCCTCAGATGCCCCCACCACATCACTGAGCCCCCAGCCCCCACCCAGGTGCAGGGTCAGCACTGGGTCGGCTTGTCTAACCGGGGACACAGAGGACGGACTGTTGTCCACAGGGACAAATGACCCGAGCGTCCACCCCCAGCCCCGTCCCCCCGGACACAGGGCCTCTCCCCCATCTCTGCGGATGGACCGTGTCCGTGACCCTCCCCTGACTTGAGGAGCCTGCACTCCCGCCCGGTTCCCCTCCGAGAGTGGGAGGGCTTCCCGGCTCAGGACACAGCTCGTCCCTGATGCCCAGGTGTCCACGGCTCCCACACCACCCCGCTCGGGCCCTGGGTCCCCTGTGACCTCGCCATGACTTCCGCCGCTGTGTTTTGTGGTTGCTGCAAACGGGACAGCAGGGCCGAGCTGGGGCTCCTGGTGGCTCCGGGTGCCCAGGACACGCCCGGGGTGAGGTGGGGTCTGGGGTGGTGACCGGTGACACCGCCGTCCAGGCCGCAGGCATAGGGGCATCTACGGCTTCTTATGTGGCTTCCTTTCCTGGCCGGGCATCTCGTCTTTGGAAACACTTCCTGGAGGCGCTGCGGGTGCGCACGCGGACGTGCCCTGCCTCCTCATGGCCCTGACGGCGCTGGCGCTCTGTTCCAGGATCATCCAGCAGCTGGTCAACGGCATCATCACCCCCGCCACCATCCCCAACCTGGGCCTGGGCCCCTGGTGAGCAGGCGGGTCCCCCACGTCCCCCGCCCCTCGACCTCGGCCTCTCCGCCCTGGGCCCCTGGTGAGCAGGCGGGTCTCCCATGCCCCCTGCCCCTCAACCCCGGCCTCTCTGCTCAGGGGCGTCCTGCACTCGAACCCGATGGACTACGCCTGGGGGGCCAATGGCCTGGACGCCATCATCACGCAGGTACGGGGGCCTCCTCGCTCCTCCCGCCAGGGCCTGACGGGCTGCACTCCCTGGAGGACGACATGTGGCCCCGGCTCAGCCGCCCTCCCTCCCAAGGCTGCAGGCGCTGGCCAGACGGCCGTCCCCGCACCATGGGGCAGGGGACCCACGAATCCGGGCCTTGTGTCACGCGGGTCTTCAGGGCCTGTGCTCCTTGTGACATTGGCGGCACCGGTGAGGCGGGGGTGTCGCCTTGTCAGGGCCCCTTCCTGCTGAGCCGGCTGAGTGTCTTGTCCCTGGGACACGGGCGCCAGGCTGTGGCTGAGCCCCCGGGAGGGCTGTGCTGTCCCCTGGCCGTGGTGCTCCCAGTGCGAGGTGACACTGACGAGATAGGCTTGGGGGTGTTTGGGGACCAGGACAGAGGGCTCCCATGGAGCTCCTGCTGGTGACGTGGCCTCGCGTCCCGGGCCGCCCGCCCCGCCCGCGCACCCGGCCTGTTGTCTTTCAGCTCCTCAACCAGTTTGAGAACACGGGCCCCCCGCCCGCCGACAAGGAGAAGATCCAGGCCCTCCCCACCGTCCCCGTCACCGAGGAGCATGTAGGTGGGTGTCTCGCGCCTGGGGACGGGGTCATCCTGCGGGGGAGGTTCCCCAGTAGGGCCTCTGGCGGGGGCTCCTGAGGCCACGTGTGTAGGTCTCGGTGTCATGGCCGCTCGTCCCGCCGCAGGCTGCGGGCTGGAGTGCCCGGTGTGCAAGGACGACTACCGGCTGGGCGAGCGTGTGCGGCAGCTGCCCTGCAACCACCTGTTCCATGACGGCTGCATCGTGCCCTGGCTGGAGCAGGTGAGCGGGCGGGCGGGCCGCGCCCCCTCCCCGCCCCGCCGCCGCTGACCGCCCCCTCTGTCCCCGAAGCATGACAGCTGCCCCGTCTGCCGGAAGAGTCTCACGGGACGGAACACAGCCACCGATCCCCCGGGCCTGGGCGGCGTGGCCTTCTCCTCGTCCTCGTCCTCGTCCTCCTCCAGCTCCCCAGGCAGCGAGAACCCAGCCAGCAGCGCCTGAACGGCGTCCACGTGCGCACAGGGCCCACGGCCCAGCCTGGGAGGCCCCACGGGGCCAGGACTGTGGGGCGGCCGCGCTTGCTGCGGGCAGAGGCTGGAGCACCCGCTGCCTCCCGCCGTGGGGAAGCTTGCCCTCCCAGACGGCCCGCGGGCCTGCGAGGGGCACAGGCACACGTGGCCCCGGCGTCCGGCCTGCCCCGTCTGTCTAACCTCGCTCTCTACGTGTTCGGCGGTGGAAAGGTTTTTATAATTTTAAATTATTACTGCTTTGAAATAAATGGACGTTGAGCTCACTCGCGGGCCCGCATGATCTGTGGAAGCACAGGGTGGAGCCGCTCGCGGGGACTCGGGACCAAAGGACGGCCTGGGACAGCACAGCGACCGAGCACGACCCGCAGAACCAGAACCAAGCGAGAGCAGCACGGCCCCGGGGTGTCTTCACAGGAAGCCTTGCTTGTGTCTGGAAAGCTATTAAAATACACCTACGTGGAAAGAGGCGGCGGTCGGCGTGTTCCTTCTGTGCCGGCCCACACTGTCCACACCGCCGTCCCCGCCGAGCCCTGGACGCGGGCCGTTGACGGTCAGCCAGGAGGAGAGCCTCACCTTGTTGCAGATGTGAAGCCACAAACCCCGTCTGCGAGGGGTCGGGGGCCGTCGAGGCACCGCCTCTGCCTGGCCCCCATGGCAGCCCCCACGACCATTCACGGGGCCTGTTGCAGGTGCAGGGTCACCGGCGGGGGGGCCCCCTGGCCTGACCGCAGTGAGCGTGCAGTCTGCACCCCGTGAGTGCCCTGACTTTGCTCTCTGTACGTGGAGTCGGGGGAGGGGTGGGGGGAGGCGTTGGGGGAGGGGTAGGAGGGGCCCCCGCAGGCCATCGTCATCCCTATTTCCTAAAAGGGAAACTGAGGCTCAGGGTGAAACTGCGGCCTGGAGCTGGGGTCTGAACTGGTTCTTGGCTCCACTCCTCTGGCTGCTGGACATCCCCCTGGGTGGGGGGTCTGCGGTGCAGTGTGTCCACCCCTCCCTGGAGGACATGGAGCCCTCGCCCGCTCATGGCGCCCACTCCCACTGCCCGCCCCGCGAGGACCAAGCACCTCTGGAGACTTGTGTTTAATTAGACCCGCCTCAGACACCATATCCACGCTCCCTGTGGCCACAGTGACGAGTCACCAAAATTTGTCATCTCACGTCCTGGGGTCAGGAGTCCGACATGGTCCCACGGGGCTAAACCCGGGGGGTGGGGGTGGGGCGTGGGGGGCAGGTCCTCACGGAGGCCCCAGGGGAGGAGCGTGTCCCGCCTCCTCCAGCTTCCAGAGGCGCCGCGTCCTGGGCTCGGGGCCCCTTCCTCCGTCCGCACGGCCAGCAGCGCAGCGTCTCCATCTCGGCCTCTGACCCCCCCGCCTCCCTCTGCTCAGGACCCTGGGATGACCCTGGGCCCCGGGAATCCAGGGTCACCGCCATCCCAGGGGCCTCGACTTAACCCATCTGCAGAGTTCTCTCTGCCTTGCAAGGTGACAACGTCCACAGGTCTTGGGACTGGGGCTTGTCACTCTGTGGCGTGTCCGCGTGGCCCTCTGCCCTGACCCCAGACCCCTCGCTGCGCCAACCGCCTGCTCCAAGCCTCTGCCCACTTGCATCCTGGCTGGAGCGCCCTTCTTGGACCTTCCGATGGCCGCACGGCTGTACCCGGTTTCCAGCCCAGGAGGTGCACTGTTGGGGCCGCCCTGCTCTGCAGCTCAGGACTGGACGCTGGTGGCCCCGCTCAGCTCAGTGTCCACCTTCCTGCAGACCCAGATGGCAGCTCCCCAAGTGCCAGGCTGCATCTGTGGGGGTCCTGCACACAGTAGGTGCTCCATTAATGCTTTTGAGACAAATGAGTGGCCGCACACGTGTTCAGCCATGGCCTGGGCCTCCCCCAGCCTCTGGCTCTGGCTGCCTGGCTCCAGCGTCTTCTGGAATCTGTCCGGCTGTTCCCCATGGTCTCTTGGTCAAGACACCAGGACGGGCAGGAAGTGGGTGGATAGGTGGTGCACCCGCGTCCGGCCACCACGACGCGGGGCCCCCTGCCCGTCCAGCGCCAGGAACATGGGCCGGCCACGGTGGCGCCAGCGGACCGAGGCGTATGTGTTGTAGCCGTTCTCCTCAATGCGCTCCCGGAAACTGCAGTGGGCGGTGCAGACCCTCTGCGGGCAGGCGGGCGGGTGAGCGAGCGCCAGACCACCCTCTCCACCGCCACCCGCCCGCTGGACACCCCTCCCCACCCGCACACTCACCGACCCGTAGAGGCGGCCCCGGCGGCTCATGGCCACGTAGAAGCCGGTGTGCACGGCCTTGAGGGCCACAACACCCACGCGGAGGGAGCGGATCTCCAGGACGCCTGTGGGGAGGGACCCGGGGTGTCCACACACCGTGCATTCCACGCGCTGACAGCCGCTAATGCTGCCTGAGCGCCAACCGTATGCCAGACCCCACAGCGGCCCCAGGTGGGAGGTGCCCACTGTGCCCACTGCCCAGAAGGGGAAACTGAAGCCTGGGAGGTGGCAGAGCCAGGAGCCAGGTCCCGGCCTCATCCCTCGACGGGGGACCCTGGGAGAGGCCCGTGCTGCTCTGAGCCCCTATTTCCTGTCCAGCGAAGCAGGGCTGGGGGCTGCCCACAGTCTCAGCTCCACCTGTGCCCTGGGGCCGACTCGAGTCCAGGCCTTGCCCCTTGGTCTTCAGGCTGGACTTGGATGCCAGAGGCGACGGGGAGCTCCCTCCTGCCCCACGGGGCCTGTGCATTTCCTGGGCCAGGCACCTGGCTCCTCTCAGTGTGAGGCTGTCGGGCCCACCTCCTCGGAGAGGTCCCGGACCTCCCAGGCGAAGTGGCCGCTGTCAGCTCCCACGCGTCTCCCTGTCACTCCTTCCCTCCTGCTGCTTTACTCTCTGCTCTGGGAGCCCTGATGTGGGCTGTCCTGGTGGCTGCCACGTCCCCGTGCCCAGTGCAGCACACGAGGGGCCCAACTCAGGATGCCTGAACTAAGGACGCGGCCCGGATGGGGAAACGGAGGCTCAGAGAGAAGCAACCACTGTCCCAGGCCACCCTTCCCGGCTGTGCCCACCACCGATGGACCTGCCCGGCCAGTCTCCGGTCGTCGCCCTCGTCTGACGAGCCTAATGACAGCCTTGGGAGCCCCAGATGAAAGCAGCCAGCCAGGGCAGGGGCCATTATCTGCCCCGATGGTGACTCAGGAGCGGCCAGCGATGTGCTCGGCCCCGGCACCCCTGCCTGGGCCTCAGAGCCGTGGGGTCGCCGGCCGCCCTGGTCTCCCAGCTGTCCCCAGCCCCACCTCTCTGCCCCTGCATCTCCTCTTGCCTCATACATTCCACAAACACTTATTGAGTGCCTACTGTTTGCTGGGTGGGGCAGCAGGGACAAGGACTCCAACTCGATGGGGTTCTGGGCATCCAGGGGCCCCAGCAACCCCACTCCCCCTACTATGTGACCCCGGGCAGGTCATGTCCCCTGTCTGTGCCTCAGTTTCCCCATCTGCGAAATGGGTATCTACGGAGAAGTAGAGGGATCCCCAGTACAGACAGCTCCTGGCTTGGTTTTGCAGTGTGGGGAGTCCAGAGCTCAGAGCCCAGAGCCTGGCTCTGCCTGCTCCAGGGCCCTTCCTGGAGCCTCAGTTTCCCCTCTGTAAATGGGCCCAGTGACCCCCAACCTCAGCTCTTCCACAAAGACCTTTCTCTGCTCCTGAGCCAGGGCTGAGCTGGCAGCAGCTTCTGTGACCCTCACCTCCACCGTCCACCCCTCCCACCATGTGGATAGGGCCCAGCTCATCCTTATTATTATTACTGCAGCCGTTGTTGTTACTGTCCGCCCATCCGCCCTGTAGCCGCCTCCCCGGTCCCCGGACAGCCCCCAGCGACTCACTGTCAGGGCTGTGGCGCCAGCGGGTGCCCTGCACGCGGCCGCTGGGGTCCACGCCCAGGAAGAAGTGGGTGGAGGAGAAGAGGCGCCGCCAGCGCACGTCGCCCTCCAGGTGCGGGTAGCTGCGCGCTCTCCGCGGACCGCCGGGGGTCCCCGCGGCGCCGGGCGCCCGCGCCAGCAGCAGCCACGCCAGGCCCAGCCACAGGCGGCCGCGCATGGCCCCGCGCCCCGCTCGCCGCCCGCTCCTGCCTCCCTGCTCGTCCGCGGCTCTGCCATCGCGCGGCCGGGGGGCGGGGCGCCCGACCCAGACCCCCGCGCGGGCCAATAGGGAGTCTCGTGGGCGTGGCCAGCGCCAAAGGGGGCGGGCCTGGGCGGGGCCGAGGCCTGGGAGCCGACCAATGGGGAGTCGGAGGCCTGCCAATGGGGCTCCTCGGGGGCGTGGCCAGCGCCGGCGGGGGCGGGGCGACTAGGCGGCGGGGCGGGGCCATTGGAACGCGCGCCTGGCCTCCCACGTGTTTGTCCTGCGGGGCGAGGAGCAGAGAGTGATGGGCAGACGGACAGATGTGTGAGACACAGAGACGGGGAAATGGAGATGCCAGGGGATCGGGCCGGTGGGACTCACCCTCCCTCCAAACTGGGGCTTCCTGAGAGCCAGGCCGCGGGGCACGGGCTTCGCGCAGGGTGGGCGTGGGCGCCGTGGCGGGGAGCAGAGGGGCAGTTGGGGCGGTGTGCACACAGGTTTGGGCAGGCGGGTGGGGGGAGTGCGGTGGGCCAGAAGGTGGCGACGGGAGGATGACACGTGGGCGTGTCCGTGGCTGACCGACGGGGACACGGATGATGACCGAGGCCAGCACCCTGTCCTGGGCGTCCAGAGCTGCACGTCCGAGGTGGCAGGAATGGGGCGGCCCCGTGTACACCCACACTTGCGCGTCATTTAGAGACACACCCGGGCCCCAATGGGCGCCAGGCCGTGCCCTGGGCCGAGAGGGGGACCCAGGGAACCTTCAGACTCAGAGCTAAGAGACGTAACTGACAGGCAGGGAAACTGAGGCCTGAGAGGGGCAGCGACTTCCTCAGGGCTCCAATCCCCGCCCGTCTGCTCCCCTTGGCCCGTCCTGTGGCCACAACCCCAGGGGACATCTTCAAGGTGACCAGCCTGCCCTGGTGGAGGGCTGGAGGGGTAACCGGTCCGGCCGGACACCCGATGCCTTCCTGCTGGCCCTGGGGATTCCCCATCCCTCTTCCCGGCCCAGGAGGACCACGCAGGGGTGTGGCAGATGCCCGAGCCCCAGGACCCAGGACTGAAACAGGGGTGTCCCCATGGCTCATCTCTCTGCACTCGGAGCCCGGAGGTCAGCCCCCAGGGGACCCTGCGTTTGTGTTGGCTCCCCTGGAAAATGGGCCGGGAAGGGGAGGCTGGGAGGATGTCTGGCATGAGATCATCCACGCGCTCACGGGGCGGAGGGCGAGGCTCGCAGACTTGGAATAGCATCCTGGCTTCCACGGGGCCCGTGGGACGGGATGGGACCCACGCCCGGGGAGCCGGCTCTGCCCAGTGTTGTTGGAGTTTATTTAATAACAGCTTCACTGGGGTGTAATTCACATACCACACAACTCACTTGTGTGAGCTTACAACCCAGTGTTTTCAGGACAGAGCTGTGCACCCATCACCTCTATCTGGTTCCAGAACATTCCATCCCCCAAAGAGAAGCCCCCGTCCCCATCAGCATCACTCCCCATCCCCCCATTCCCAACCCCTGGCCCCCACGAGCCCGCTCTCTGTCTGTGGATCTGCCTGTTCTGGATGTTTCCCGTCCGTGGGGTCCCACGCCGTGTGTCCTTCTGTGTCTGCTTCTCTCCCTGAGCGTTGTGTGTTCAGGTCCGTCCACGTGCAGCCGTGTCAGGGCCTCGCTCCTCTTCACGGCTGCGTCATATTCCAGTGTGTGGGTGGACACATTCATCCGTCGATGGACGGTTCTTCCATCTTTCGGCTGTTGTGAGTCCTGCTGCCCTGGACACGTGTGGACGGTTTTGGGTGGACATGTGTTCTCATTGCTCTCGTTTATGTGTCCAGGAGTAGGCTCGCTGGGTCGTATGACAATTCTGTGTCTAGCTTTTTGAGGACCTGCCACACTGTTCCCCACAGCAGCTGCACCATTTACGTTCCCACCAGCCGTGCCTGAGGCCTCCAGTTTCTCCCCGTCTTTGCCGACCCTCGCGGTCGTCCTTGGTTCTGATGACAGCCATCTTCGTGGGGTAGAGTGGGTCTCACTGTGGTCTTTTGAGACTTCAAGCCTACAGAAGGGTCGTCAGAGCAGCACAACGGACACCTGGTTCCTGGATCCACTCCTGATTCTGTACATTCTTCTTGCTCTGTTGTCAGGAGAATGGGTCGACACACGGAGCAAATTCACACCAGGGAATACTACGCAGCTATGAAAAAGAACAAATCCCCGAAACACACAACGTGGATGAATCTCAGACGCCGTGCTGAGTAGAAGCAGCAGGACACAAAAGAGGTCCATTTATGTGATGTTGTCGAACAGGCAAAACTGTGGAACCTTCTTCCGTGAGCGGATCTGTGACACTGAGCCGCAGAGTGGGTGTCGTTTCACCTCTCAGCACATCAGAGCAGGTCCTCAAGGCCCAGTCCTCCATCCTAACCAAGCTGCAACCTAACCCACCATCCGTGCCCAAAGTTCCCCTGCTGTCCCCACAGCGTCCTCAAGTGGCTTTCTACCCCGATTGCACATCCCGGGGTTGGGCTCACACAGCCTTTCCAGTTCTCCCTTTCAGCTCCGTGATCAGCGGGACGACGGCCCCCAGAGACACATCCAGTTTAATCCACGGAGCCTGCGGATTTTCCCTCATTTGGAAGAAGAGTCTCGGCAGATGCACTTAGATTCAGATTTTCGGATGGGGAGGTCGTCCTGGTGGACCCTGGACGCGGTCACGTACAAGAACGAGACGGGGGGACACCCGACACGACACACAGCAGAGGTCACGTGGAGACAGAGGCAGAGATGGGGTGACATGGCCACAAGGCCAGGACGCTGCAGCCCCAGAGGCTGGAAGAGGCGGGAGGGACCCTCCCCGGAGCCTGGGGGGAACCGCGGCCCCGTCCCCCGGACCTCAGCCCCCTGCTGCCGACTTTGGACTTTCATTCTCCGGAAACTTGAGGAAACACATTTCTGTTGCTGAAAGCACCGAGTTTGTGGTCATTTGTCACAGCAGCCCCGGCACCTGATACCGTCTCTTCCAGCCGCAGACCCTGCCCTCCCCGGCCTTTCCCGTTGCCCACACTTCCGACGTCTCCCTCCCACAGCCGGGGTTCACCCCAACGTCAAGGAAACGCGGGGTCACCATCAGGGTGGGAAACCCGTGTTCGACGTCGACACGCTGACAAGGAGCCGTGAAAGGAAATAGGATGAGAAGACGACGACGTGACGGCCTCTCAGGTCACAGCCCGGCAGCCGAGATGGGAGTCAGTGCAGGGGCCACAGAGGGAGCCCCCCCCGTGTCTGAGCGGGAACTGAAAGAGTAGCTTTCTCACCACCGAGACCCGGGACCCCAGCTCTTGGGGACGTTCTGACGTCCCACTGAAGACGAGAGGAAACCAAGGCAGGAGGAGAGGAGAGAGAAGTCGCGAGTCTTGGCTTGCGGCCCGGGTTCCTGGCCCTGCGGGTCTGCTGCACGCGAGGGGGCGTCCCTCTGTCCTGGGCAATCAGCCCGGCTGATTCAGCCCCCCGGGGCCAGGAAGGCAACCCCAGGTGTGAGTCAGGACTGAGGTCATGGCCCCCCGGGCACATGGGTGGGCTGGGGCACGTTCGAGAGGACGCTGCAGCCTGCGGAAGACATTCCCAGCCGGTCGCATCACGGTGCTCAGGCCGCGTGGGCAGCTGCGTCTGGAATGTGCTGTCAGGAGGCCTGCCCGGGGGGTGGGGGTGGTTCTGGCTCTTCCGGAGCACAGGTCCCGCCTCCACTCTGGAAAAACCGAAGCCCTGGCATCTGGGGACCGGTGGCTACTTGAGCCCAGGCCCCTAAGGCCTGCCGTGGTTGTCTCTGCTTCCTCTCCCCACCTCGACTCTGCTCAAGGTCCTGCCTCAGGGCCTTTGCACCTGCTCTGACCTCCGCCTGGAACGCAGTTACCCCAGATATTCTTATTCTCATCCTTCACATGCTAGCTGATTCCAGATCAAGTGCTCCCCTCCCCCAGCCTCAGTTTCCCCGACTGAACCATAGGTGGGCTTGGCTTCCAGGTCTGATTCTAAACCTCTGCCCCTGTGTGCTCTTGAGTGGGATCACCCCGGAGGCGGGGCCTGGGAAGCCCCAGGGATGATTCCATGTGTCATCATCTCAATTTAATAGGTTGGTCTACTCCTCCTGCCCCACTGTGCCCCGTCCCTGGGAGCTTGGGAACTAGCGGGTAGATTCAGGCCAGAAGAGTGGGGCAGGGAAATGTCCAGGGAAATATCCTAAAGACATCTGTCTGGGAGTCACAGATCTTGGCTTTCATTCCAGTCTCGCTAATGTTCATACTGTGTGTCTTTGGGCAACTTGATTGACCTCTCTGAGCCTCGGCTTCTTCCACAATCAACTGGGGATAATAATAGTTCTCGCCCCAAAGTTGTCGTCGGATCAATGAAGATCGCGAACAGGAATCTATAAATTGCAGAACGCTGTCCTAATTATTAGGCGACTATTCCTTAGGGGAGAAAAAGGAATCCGGGTTCCGGGTCCTCCCAAAGACGGCTTAGAATCTCCCCGCGTTGCCCTAGCAACAGCTCTGTCCCGCCCCTCCTTGACAGAGAGAAGAGCCAATCAGAGGGCTCCGTCGGCGCATGCCCTCGCGCCTCGGAGGCCCCGCTGCCCGCTGGGAGTTGTGGTTCCGGCGGCGCCCTTCCGGTCTCACGGTCCCTTCGCAGCCGCCGTAGGCCGCGGAACTACAACTCCCGGCAGGCGCGGGCGGCGCAGGCGCGGTGCGGGCAGCCGGCGGGTCCGCGTGCGGGGCGATGTCGGCCCTGCGCTGGGGCCGCGGCGCGGCCGGGCTCGGACGGGCCCTGTGGCCGGCGGGCCACCCCGGCCTCCTGGCCGAGGAAGGTAATGTGGGGGAGGCCTGGGGACGACGCCGCGGCCTCTGCCCACGCCCTCCGCTCGCGGCCTTGACCTTTGGCTTCTCGGCCCCCAGGATCCAGCCACCCCGACCTTTGCCCTTTGCCCTGTGGGGTCCTGGGAAGCCCACTGACGGGATCCCGCGTTCACTCGCTCTTGGCCCGCTGTCCTGCCGGAAGTCGGCAGGGCACTTTGACCTTTGACTCTCGGTTTCTCTTGGAGCCCCCTGACCCCGTGTTTGGGGTTTGGGGCTCTTGGCCTTTGAACTCTCTGTACCTTTAGTTCGAGGAACTCTTTACTCTCGATCCCACGCCCCACTTTTCTTAGCTCGTGGGGACCCCTTCACCTTTGACCTCTTAGTTTCCTTCCACTAAGAGACCCGAAACCACTGACAGTTTCCACGGGTTTAGGGCCCCTTTCCCCGATGCTGCAATTTCTGTCCATATGAGGACCCCCAGCCCCCGAGACGCCAGACCCCCTTCAGCCTCGCTTGTCTCCTGCAGGGGCCCTGGGGGGCGTGTGGGGCCGCCGAAGGAGCTCGTCGGCCAGCCCTTGTGAGCAGGACCGCGGGAAGGACTGGGGCCACGCCGAGCTGCTGGAGGGTGAGCCGGGACCCCTTCCTCCCTCTCGCCCGCCCCGGGCCGCCGGGTCACCTCCCGGGCTCCTCGCCACCACCCCGTGAGGAGGGATGTCAGTCTGTAAGATGGGCTTGGTGACCACGGTCCCAACCTTTCTGATGACATCCCAAGCACCCCCTAGACCCGCCGGGGGCTCTCACTTTCCAGACGAGACAGTCGAGGCCCCGAATTTCGGCTGGAGAGGTTCGCCCCGGGCCACAGGCAACTGCTGGTGCAGAGCCGGGCTTCGAACCCTGAGCTGACCCGCCTGCGCCCTGCTCGGTTCTCTGGGGTCGGGTCTCTGTGACCTGGAAGGATAGCCCAGTCCCGGTGGCCTCTGGAGGGAGGTGGGGGTGTCTGTCCTTCCTCACTGTGACCTCTTCCTCCCGGACAATGTCCAGCATCTCCCCTTCCCTTCCTGCCGGATGTCCAGTGCGTGTCCAGCAGCCGGGGGTGGGGTAGGGGAGCTGTTGAAAAGAAAAGCTTTATTTCAGAAAATCCCGTTTGTACAGAAATAAACACAAGAGCCGCCAGCTTCACCAGCACCCTTTCTTCATTCTTTATCTACCTAATTATTCTAAAGCAAAGCCCAGATAGATCATTCAACCCGAGGAAGGTTCTGGAAACCTAAATCACGTCGTCACAGCACTCGCCAGCCCAGAGCCTTCCAACTGTTTCCTCTCATGCAGAATGAACTCCAGCTCCCCCGACGGAGGGCCACAGACTCCCATGGCCTCTGCCAGGAGGATCTGAAGCCACCTCAGGGCCTTTGCACCTGCTTGTCTGCAGGTCCCTGCAGGGCTGAGGCATTCTGTTCTCGCAGGTTAGCTCAGATGTTGCTGCCTCAGGGAGGAGAGCTACGCCCATGTCCCCACTCCCTCCCACGGTGGCCTCGTTCCCTCCTCCGCACGTTCCAGCCTGAGAGTCTGTCGCGTGCATTCTAGAAGCATCTGCTGCGTTTTGGCCTGCTCTGAGGGCCACATTCATGCCTGCCTTCTTGCTCTGTTTCAGCAGATCTTCCCTGCGCCCCTGCTGGCTGCCAGCCCTGAGCCGGGCATGAGGCCACCCCTTCTCTCTTGGCTGATGTCCCAGTGAGGGGTGTGGGCAGGAGACAGACATGGCTGGTCCTCGTTATGCGCGTCCTCTGTTTGCAGAGTCACCTGCCAGTTTATCCGTAACCCCACAGTCAGCACTGGCGAGGTCCTTTGTGGACGTGCACAGAGCAGCAGGACTTGGAGCTTCCCGGTGCCTGGCTGGTGCTCGGCTGTCTGTGGACAAGCATCCTTTCTGGGGCAGATTCTGTGCCCATTTCTGTGTTCTTGTGCTTTTTGTGGGCAAATTGCTGTTTAAAACGGCCCCCAGGTGTAGCCAGGAGGCGCCACCCAGTGTTCTGAGCACAAGGAGGCTGCGAGGGCCCCTTGGAGGGAACCCGAGTGTGAGAGGAGCTTCCCCCTTGTGGGAGGCTCAGGGCTATGGGCTGTGAGCTCAGTGGGATGACCGACAAGTGTATGAAATAAGGCGTCTGGAGCAGAAGCGCACGTCACACGAGGTTGAGTAGATCAGTCGGTGGGGATGTGCTGAGGGGCTGGCGGGGCCGTGTGTCCCCAGGAGCACTGGTGGGTGTTGGCTGGCTCGGTGTTATGATGACTGTAGAAAGGAAGCCACAGATGGCGAGGTGACTGACCTGCTGCTGGTCGTGCTCGGGAAGAGCAGAGCGGGGCCAGGCCGTGGGCTGTAGAGAGGAGGGGCCAGGCCGTGGGTGTTGAGGGGGGTGGGCTGTGGATCGTTGGGTGTTATAGGGACTGTGGATTGTCTGGTTAGTGCCTTCCAGGCAGTGGAAACAGCACATGCAAAGGCCCTGAGGTCATTATGGCTGGAGTGGAGTGAGCAAGGAGGAGAGTGGAGAATGTGAGCACAGGGAGGTGTCTGGGTACCTGGATGGATCTGCCAGCTGAGCCCTGAGGATGGGCTGAGGGATTAGACGTGGAGGGAGAGAGTGTGGACGACCCTGGGTTCTTGGCTGAGCACCTGGAAGGGCAGAGCTGCCAGTGACTGGGGAGCACGCGGAGCAGCAGTTTGGGGACACGAGGCGCCTGTCTGGGACGTTCACTGGAGGGTTTTGGGAGAGAGGGCTGGTTGGGGCAGGGGTTGTGCCCGCCTGAAAATCCATGACGTTTGGGTGTTGTCAGCAACATGTAGAACCGAGGCGCCAAGACCAGGCGACACAGCACCCCTCACCTCAGGGGTCTGGTGAGACCGGTGCTGGAGTGGGGTCCCCTGACGTCCTCGCCCTTTGTCCCCACAGTGCTCGAGGCGCGGGTGCGGCAGCTGCAGGCCGAGTGTGTGTCGGAGGTGACGGTGAAGAGGGTGGACGTGGCTCGGCTCCCGGAGGCTGGCGGCTTCCAGCCCCCCAGGAAGGCGCAGCCAGGGGCCACGGGGGCCGCTCCGGGACTCAGCGGCCGCTGGGCGGAGAAGCTGGACAAGGAGAAGTGGACGATGCAGAAGCGCCGGCAGCGGCTGGAGGCGAAGCTGGAGGAGCAGGCCCGGAAGCTGGCCCGCGAGCAGCAGCTGCGGGTGGAGCCCCGCCTGCTGAACGGACAGCTGGCCAAGAGCCTGCAGCGCTGGGAGCAGGGCGGCCCGCGCAGCCCCTGGGAGGAGCCACTGGCGCAGCTGCTGCAGGAGGCCCCGCGGAGGCTGGGCTGCGAGGCGGAGCAGGCCCCAGCGGACAGGGTGGCCGGGGCGCGGCTGGAGAGCCAGCGGCAGAGGCTCCTGGCCTTCCTCGAGTGCTGCCTGTTCACTGGCCACCTGCCGCTCGCCCACCACGTGCTGGTCGTCCAGCACAGCAGGTCCCGGCAGCAGCGGCTGCTAACGCTCGCCATGTACAACACCGTCATGCTCGGCTGGGCTCGCAAGGTGAGTGGCGCCTGGCCCGGCCCCCCCGAGGAGGAGGGTGTCGCTGCAGCGTGCCCACCCTGCCCGTTAGAGGTGGGAGCTGAGACCAGAGACGGCAGGACTTGCCTGCGGCTCCCAGCTAGCAACAGTAGCACTTAGATTCAGATCTTTGTCTTTTAGCCCCAAAGTCCAAGCCCTTTGTTTGTTATCGTTTCAACAATTCTTTCAGGTTTGTCAAATATAAATCATGTGTGGTCATCAAAGGAAAATTTGAAAATGCCCAGAAAAGAAGGAAGAAATTCCACTAACGTTTTGGTGCATTTCCTCCTGGTCTGCTCGACCAGCGCTCCCATCTGGTGCCCGGGGTGCCCTTGGCGTCCAGGCGGCCTGCAGACCCTGCTCAGGATAGTGACTTGGATGCTTTTGGTTTAGTTGGGTTCTTTTTCCTAGTTTCCTAAGATAGACAGTTAGGTTACTTCAAGATCCCCTTTTTTGGACACAGGCGTTCATGGCTACGAATTTCCCTTTGGGCGCTGCATTAGGTGCATCCTGTGACTTTCCGTCCTCTTCATCTCCAAGTGTTAGGAAAGTTCTGCGATTTCCTCTCTGACCCGTGGTTGTTGAGGACAGTGTTGTGTACGTGCCCTTGTGAGGGAAGGACGTTCCCCGACACCCTCTCTCCCCGAGGATCTACAGCCCTAACGTGAAGAACAGCAGGAAAAGCTGGCGATACTCAGGTGGATGAAGGAAGCGGTTACGTGAAAACTCAGGTGCCACGAGAATCGCAGCAGAGGGTGGACGTGCTCTTCTGATCCAATAACGACAAGGCCCGGGAGCAGCCCCGTGGCTGCTGACCCTTCCCATCTGTGTCACCGTGGCGAGACATGGAGATGCCCGAGGTCTCCACGGGCGACCGGCACAGGTGGTTTCCTGCCGGCGTTCATCCCTGTGGGAAGCGTATTCAAGCCAGGGAGTCCGTGGAGACGAAGGGGTCGTGTGCTCCCTCCCAAGGTCACAAGCCCTCAGAGTCCCCGGCAGAGAGCCTCTCAGGGCCGGGCGTGCTGTGACGCCCATGGGCGAGCTTCCTGGCACCACAGCCTGGTGGCTGAGAAGGACAGAAGTTCATTCTCTTTCAGTCCCCGAGGCCAGACGTCCGAGGTCAGGGTGTGGGAGGGCTGGGCTCCCAGGGCTCCCGCCAGGGGCCCTCCTGCCTTGTCCAGCCTTGGGGGCTCTGGCATCCCTGGCTGTGGCCGCCTCGCTTTGGTCCTTGCCTCCATCGTCACCTAGCCACCTTGGGAGACACTTTAACCCAGGTGACCTCGTCTTAGAAGATTAACCTGCGAAGACCCTGTTTCTGAGGTTCTGGGTGGACGCGAGTTTGGGGCTCCATTCAGCCTTTGCTGGCACCGGCCCCATGTAGCCACCACACACGTGCAGAACTGAGTATTCAGTTCACGTTTACACCAAACAACGGGCATGGCGGTGACTGCTGAATGGGCGGCCCATCCAGGGTCATTCTGACAAGCACCTCAAAGCCTAGCTTGCAGGCACCTTGTCGCCTCCGGTGATGGCAAGTGTGGAGCGAGGGCCGTGGGACCGTGGAGGAGGTGTGGGGACGTCCTCCCCTGCGGAGGGTCTGTGACAGCTGTCCTCACCCACCTGTGGGTCACAGAGCTCGTGGGAGACGTGCAAACACTTGGAGATGAGAACGACGTGCCACCGTCACAGGGGCAGCCAAGGCCGCGCCCAGAGGGACACGGATGCCAAAATGCCTGTGCGGGGAGGGGAGGCAGGTCGGGGGTCAGTGACGACTCGCACCTGAGGAAACAGGTGCCTGCTGTCGTGAAGCAGGCAATGGGAGAAGTGTGGGACCGAGGCAGAACGCGCACGCAGTCCTCTGAAACAGGACGCCCCCTTTACACCCCGAAATTGTGCACATTCAGATCCACAAAGCCAAAAAATATCAACACTGACCCCCGAACCTAAACCTTGAAACATCAGGTGGACCGTCTGTCCCCGGCTGGTGGTCCTCTCCCGCTGCATTCGATGGCTGCGGAGAGCGGTCTGGGGGGCAGGCCGGGCCACCCCCTCACCTGGCTTGGTCTCCCCAGGGCTGCTTCAAAGAGCTGGTTTACGTCTTCTTCATGGTGAAGGACGCCGGCCTTGCCCCGGACCTACTGTCCTACGCGGCCGCCCTGCAGTGCATGGGGCGACTGGACCAGGACGCCGGTACCATCCAGAGGTGGGTGGCACAGTGACATGTCACGGGGCCGGGACCCCTGCGGCCCCGATGGCCGGCTGGTGCCCAGACCTGCAGGGGGTCGGGCCGCCCCATCCCCCAGGTGGGCTGCCACTCCCCCCTGTGCCCGCAGGTGTCTAGAGCAGATGGCCCAGGACGGCCTGCAGCTGCAGGAGCTCTTCGTGGGCTCACCGCTGTGCAAGGAGGATCAGGGCGTGCTCCTGAGGGCCGTGCGCAAGGCCAGGCCCGGCTTCAGCCCTCCGCCGCGGCCCAAGCCCCCGCCCCCGGTCAGCAGCTCACCACTGCTCAGGGAGATCTACGCCAAGGTGAGCCCAGCCTGCGGGGGTCCTGTGCCTGGGGGTGAGCCAGGCTGCCCCATCCCCACAGGGTCTCCCTGTACTTCTCCTCGAGGAGCCCTCCCTGCTCCTTGGAGGCTGAAAAAGCCACAGCGTTGGCAAGCCTGGTCCCACAGGGCCCGGCCCGGAGGGTGAAGCTGGAGGGGGCCAGGAGGAGAGGCCGCCACTTGCACCTCGGGTGTCACGGCCATGCTGTCGTTTCCTACCCAGAACCTTGGCTGTAGGCAGAGGCGGTGTGACCTCCGCAGGCTGGGCAGCCTCGGGCGGGACCCCAGCACCTCGTCCCAGGGCAGAGGGGATGGGGAGGGGGGGCGGAGCCACCCCACGTGTTGGGTTTTGTTTTTATTGGGATATGATTCGCCTCCCATCCAGTTCACGTTTTAAAGTACAATTCAGTGTTTTTTAGTATATTCACTTAGTATAGTCAGAACATCCCATCACCCCAAAAGCAATCCTGTCCTGTCAGCATCACCCCCGCGCCCTCCCCAGCCCCTGGCCCCCACGAGCCCGCTCTCTGTCTGTGGATCTGCCTGTTCTGGACGTTTCATGTCCATGGGGTCACACGCCGTGTGTCCTTCTGTGTCTGCTTCTCTCCCTGAGCGTTGTGTGTTCAGGTCCGTCCACGTGCAGCCGTGTCAGGGCCTCGCTCCTCTTCACAGCTGTGTCGTGCTCCAGCATGTGGGTGGACACGTACCCTTTGTCCATGCAGCTGTCGGTGGACACTCGGGTTGTGTCTACTTTTTGGCCGTTATGAATCATGCTCCTGTGGACACAAGTCATGAGTCTGTGTGGATGTATATTTTTGATTCTCAGTGTGTTGGGTTTGGCTATTTTTAATTTATCTGCTTTTGGACGGGTCACCTGTTCTAAATTTAGACAGAAAAGGGCAGCATCCAGGTCCTTGGACTGTCTCCCGCTCCACCGAGCGAGGGGGGAAATGCTTTGTTCTTTTAAACCTGCGCAGCTATTTCACATGCCTCTGCCCCCTGCTTTCTCCCTGACGTCAGAGACAGAGGATACAGGAGCCGGAGAAACGGATGTGACTCTGCCAGGCGGGGGGTGGGGGTCCCGGGAAGCTCAGGGTGGGCAGCTGCTCTTCCCGACCTCTGGTGTGGACGAGTGTCCCTGTGAGGAGCCCGGGCCCTCACCGCCCGCCTGTGCCCCCGCAGGACCGGCCCGTGTCCTACCCGAGGTTGCACCTGCCCCAGAAGAAGCTGGAGGGTCTCTTCCAGCAGCAGCTCCGCGTGGAGATGGCCACCACCGTCACCGTGGAGTCGGTGGAGAAGGCCCCGCGGCTGACCCCGGAGGTCCTGCGCGCGGTAAGGGGCTGGTGGCCCCGCAGCCGACCCCCTTCCCTCCCCGCGCTGGGCCAGGGCGGCCGTGTGCGCACCCGGCGCCGCCTGCGAGCGTGGTCAGCGCCCGCTGGGTCCCGAGACCCCTTCCCGGCCTGGCCGCTCCTAGCGCGGCCCCGGTGGGGTCCTGTGAGCCCGGGGTCCCGCCCTCATGTCGGGCGGCTCGCGTGCTGCGGGCTGACAGGCGCGGTGGTGACCCGCGTCCATCCCCTGTCCCCGCCCCCGCAGCGGAAGACCCTGAAGGGGCTGCGCGCCCGGTGGGAGGCGGCGCTGTGCCGGGCGCTGCAGGAGACCAAGGCCAGCGAGGCCCAGGCCGCCCGCGACGGCCGCCCCACGCTGCTGCCCTACCTGTGCCTGCTGGGCGAGCGCGAGTTCGCGCGGCTGCTGCTGCAGGTGGGCGGGGCGGGGCCGAGTGGTGGGCGGGGCGCTCGGGGGGCGGGGCCGGGTGACGGGCGGGGCGCTCGGGGGCGGGGCCCGGGTGGTGGGCGGGGCGCTCGGGGGGGCGGGGCCCGGGCAGGGGCTCACGGCCCTGCCCCCCAGACCCTGCAGGCGCTGCCCCCGCAGGGTGAGTCGCTCCTCTGGCTGGCGCAGCAGCTGGGTCTGCGCGCCTTCAACCGGCACATCGTGCAGAGGAAGCTGCTCAGCAACCAGGTGCGGGAGCTGGAAAAGCGCTACTCCCAGTACCTGCACCTGTTGGCCTCCGACGCCCAGGTGAGGCCCCTGGATGGGGGCAGGGTGCAGGGCAGGGTGGGGGGCTGCCTCCCAGGCCTGGGGTGCCAGGTGAGTTTCCAGGTGGGGAAGCTGAGGGCACATCTCCTTTCCCCTGCATCCCCAGGGCAGCCGGATCTGACCTGCAGCCCAGCCACTTTCTGCCACCCGCAGCCTCAGTTTCCTCATCTGTAACTCCGGGATAGTAGTCTCCCACGGGGGGGTGGCGGTGCGCACAGCCCGCGCCCAGCCCCTGACCCGCCCTGCCCCCACAGGTGGCGGAGCCCTGCCTGCCGCGGCAACACTGGGAAGCGCTGGGGGCGCCCGAGGCCCCCCACGAGCAGCCCTGGCCGTTGCCGGTGCTGGTGCAGCTGGGCAAGCAGCTGGCTGAGCTGCTGGTGGGGGCTGTGCGCATGCCCAGCAGCCTCGCCGCGCCCCAGGGGCCTCCCAAGCTCATCCCCGTGCTCTACCATGTGTACTCCTTCCGCAGCTTCCGCCAGGTGGGTGCTGTGGGCACTTCCTCTGCTGCTGGGGGGAGGGGGCTCTGGTGGTGTGGGGACCCCTGGGTCACAGCTGGGTCCTGTGGAAATCCTGCTGGGGTCACGGGCCCAGCCTCAGGGTCAGGGCGTCTGGGGGAGATCCTGGGGCCCCCCGCCCGCCACGTGCCTTTGGGGCGGCAGTCCCCCTGACTGGTCCCTGCCTGCCGCCCCTAGATTGGCATCCTGAAGCCGCACCCGGCCTTCACGCAGCTGCTGGCGGCTGCGGCAGAGCGCACGCTGACCTTCGAGGCCGCCGAGGTGCCCATGCTGTGCCCGCCACTGCCCTGGACGTCGCCACACTCAGGCGCCTTCCTGCTGAGCCCAACCAAGCTGATGCGCTCGGTGGAGGGGACCATGCAGCACCAGCGCCTGCTGGAGCGCTGCCCGCCCGCCGAGCTGCACGGCGCCCTGGACGCCCTCACCCAGCTGGGCAACTGCGCCTGGCGCGTCAACGGGCGCGTGCTGGACCTGGTGCTGGAGCTCTTCACCGCCAAGGGCTGTCCCCGCCTGGGTGTGCCTGCCCCACCCTCTGAGGCACCCCGGGCCCCTTGGGGCCGCCTCCCACCAGACACCCCACCCGCCCGCAAGGCCGAGCTGCGGCGGGAGCTGGCCCGCTGCCTGAAAGTGGCCCGCGAGATGCAAAGCCTGCGGGCCGACGCACTTTACCGCCTCTCGCTGGCCCAGCACCTGCGGCACCGCGTCTTCTGGCTGCCGCACAACATGGACTTCCGCGGCCGCACCTACCCCTGCCCGCCCCACTTCAACCACCTGGGCAGCGACCTGGCGCGCGCCCTGCTGGAGTTTGCCCAGGGCCGCCCGCTCGGCCCCCACGGCCTCGACTGGCTCAAGATCCACCTGGTCAACCTCACGGGGCTCAAGAAGCGCGAGTCGCTGCGGGCGCGCCTGGCCTTTGCGGACGAGGTGATGGAGGACATCCTGGACTCGGCCGACAGGCCCATGACGGTAGGGGCGGGGGTGGCGGCCGGGCCCTTCTGTCTCCCCGTCTCTCTGCAGGCCTGTTCCTCCCTCGGCTCCAGCCACCTCGGCCCCCCTCGGACGTCCTCCAGGCGTCCCCCTAGGAAAGTCAGCACCGCGGCTCCTGCTGTCTTCTCTTAGGACAGAGTTACGGCGCCGTCCTTTTTCTGGTTTTGCTCCTCCCGCTCCAGGGCAGCCCTCCTCCAGGCCCCTCCCCGTCCCCTTGGCTGCTCCCATGTCTCCCTCCTGCTCCTTGGCTCCCGTCCTCCTCTCGCTGTCCTGGGGGCTCTGTCCCCACCTCCCTGTGTCCTTATGGCGTCTGGGCCGGCCCAGCTCCCCTCCATGTCCAGGAAGCGCCCCCACCCGGCTGCTCTGAGCCCACCTGACCGCCCTCCCGCAGGGCCGGAAGTGGTGGATGGAGGCGGACGAGCCCTGGCAGGCCCTGGCCTGCTGCATGGAGATCGCTCGGGCCTCGCGCTCCCCAGACCCCGCCGCCCATGTCTCCCACTTCCCGGTTCACCAGGTGAGCTGGGGGACCCAGGGTGCTGTGTGTCTGGCCCACGGGGGGCTTGACTGGGGTGTCTCCGGTCCGAGGTTCCGCAGGACAGTGTGGGGGCCAGCCCCCGCAGGACCAGCTGGCCTTGCAGGCGGCCTTGTGCGGGCACTTCCGTTTGTGTCTCTGTGCCTCGGTTTCCCCTTCGTGTGGGGTAACTCTCTCAGCGTTGGGGTCTAGTGAGCTGGCAACGTGAGCCGAGAGCTGGGGAGGCAGGGAGCTGGGCTCGCTGCCCGCGGACGCTCCTGTCGGCCCTGCCCGGACCCTCACTGCTCCCTCGCCCCAGGACGGCTCCTGTAACGGCCTGCAGCACTACGCCGCCCTGGGCCGGGACAGCGTGGGGGCTGCCTCCGTCAACCTTGTGCCCTCGGACCTGCCGCAGGACGTGTACAGTGGGGTGGCCGCGCAGGTGGGCACCACGGCCCCCCGCCCCCTGGGGTCTCTGTCCTGCAGACACCTGGGCATTGCAGACCCCCAGCCACGGCCTCCAGCCATCATGCATGATGTGACTGGGCGGTCTGGGCGGGCTGCCTGGGGAGGTGCCAGGCAGCAGCAAGGGCCATGGGGAGAGGGGGCCTCGTGGGGGGCAGGGAGGGACGGCAGGCGGAGGGTGTGTGCGCCCCGCCCTCTGACCCCGCGACCTTGCGCCCGCCCAGGTGGAGGTGTTCCGCAGGCAGGACGCTGAGCAGGGCGTGCGGGTGGCCCAGGTGCTGGAGGGCTTCATCAGCCGCAAGGTGGTGAAGCAGACGGTGATGACCGTGGTCTACGGGGTCACCCGCTACGGGGGCCGCCTGCAGATCGAGAAGCGGCTGCGGGAGCTCAGCGACTTCCCCCAGGTGCGCAGCGTCGCGGGCGTCAGTAGCAGGACTGTTCACCCCGAAGGCCGCTGCCATTCCCGGAACGGTGGCCACTGGGCCGCTCTGAGGAAGGGGCTCGTCTCCCCCCACCACGGGCCCCCAGAGCGACCCTTGGGCCGCCGCCTCAGTTTCTCCATCTGGAAAACAGGGGCGTGGGCTTCAGTGCTCCGGGAGGGTCTCGTGCTGGGCCGCGGGACGGGTGTGGAGGGAGCCCCACCCGCTCACCCGCGTCCCCGCAGGAGTTCGTCTGGGAGGCGTCTCACTACCTCGTGCGGCAGGTGTTCCTCAGCCTCCAGGAGATGTTCTCGGGCACCCGGGCCATCCAGGTGCGCCCCTGTCCCCGACGGGTCTGGGTCCCCCGCGGGCCCCCCGCACTGGCCGTGCCCTGAGCCCGTGCCCCTTCCCGCAGCGCTGGCTGACGGAGAGCGCCCGGCTCATCGCCCACACGGGCTCGGCCGTGGAGTGGGTCACGCCCCTGGGCATCCCCATCATCCAGCCCTACCACCATGACTCCAAGATCCTGGTAGGTGCCCCCACCCCGCTGCCCCTACCCCCCCAGCCTCAGGGCAGGACTCACGCCCCTGCCTTCCCACCCCAACCCCAACCCCACAGATCAACGGCGGCCTCCAGAGCCTCACGTTCAGCAGCAGCGGGGACACCAGCCAGTGAGTACGGGGGGCGCTGGGGCCAGGGGAGGGCGTCTGGCGAGGACGGGGGGCGCCGGGGCCCGGGAGAGGCACCTGAGTCCCCCGCCCCCCAGGAAGCCCAACACGCTGAAGCAGAAGAATGGCTTCCCACCCAACTTCATCCACTCGCTGGACTCCTCGCACATGATGCTCACGGCCCTGCACTGCTACAGGTGGGCCCTGCTTCGTGGCCGGCCCTGCAGGCTGGGCGCGCTCCCCCTCACATGTTAACCACAGGTTAGGGACACAGCAGGGACCCACATGGTGGGGGACAGGATGTGAGGCCAGCCCCGCAGATAGGTGCTGTGTCAGTGAGGGACGAGGTCAGGGGGCCCAGGCAGAGGCCTACAACAGGCAAGGACCCCCACCGTGTGGCCCTGAGGGACCTGGTGCCCACAAGAGGACTGCAAGCACGTGCAGAGGCCCTGAGGCAGCGAGGTGTGGGGGAGGGGGAAGCGGCTGGTGGGCAGGCAGGGAAGGGTCACTCTGAGTGTGGAACTGGCCCTTGGTGGGCCCTGTGGCCCCAGCTCGGGGGGCTCCACGCATCCAGGTGTGTGCTGGCAGTGCAGGGTGGCTAGTTCTGGGCTCAGACACTGTCCTGACAGATGCACAGCCTCTCGGGCAGGCAGAGGTGTCCACGTGTCCCTCCTGAGCCCTCAGAGGTGGCCGAGCCCAAGGTGATGGGCAGCGTGTAGACGCTGTTAGAAAGTCAGCCCTGGTTGGGGGGTCGTGTCTGGGCGGCTCAGGGGCGGGCTCCAGGCCCCCGTCTGCCTCCCGTGGATGGCGGGGCTCCTGGGACAGAGCCCCGGGGTGGGGGCGGCAGAGCTGCCCTACGGGGAGCTGGGACTCAGTTGGGCAAGTGGGGGGGATGGGCAGAGGGGTTCGTCCCAGATGAGAACTCCACCCCGGGCGGAGGGGACACGTGGCAGAGGGACAGATGGGGAGCGCGCAGGGGTGGGGGCCTGGGGAGCCTGTGCGCGCTGCACGGGAGCCCCCCGCCTGGTGGTGGGGAGCTGGGCCCCCCAGGGGAGACTGTGGGTGGAGGGGCGGCCGCTGACCGAGCCCGCACCCGCTGCAGGAAGGGCCTGACCTTCGTGTCTGTGCACGACTGCTTCTGGACGCACGCGGCCGACGTCGCCGTCATGAACCAGGTGCCGCCCGCCCCCCGCCCCCGCCGTGAGAGCGGACGCCCCTTGGCCCGGGCCCTCCCCACGTGGGACCTTAGTCTGGCCATCGTCCGGCACGCACTCCTGGGCGGTGGGGCAGCCGGTGGTGACCCGCCTGACCTTGGAGCCCAGCCCCTCCCACCCCTCCCGCCCCCGGCCTTGGCCCCCGCTGCTGACGCCCCCTCCCCAGGTGTGCCGCGAGCAGTTCGTCCGTCTGCACAGCCAGCCCATCCTGCACGACCTGTCCAGGTTCCTGGTGAAGCGGTTCTGCTCCGGCCCCAGGTGAGGACCGCGCCACCCAGCGCGGCCACCCCCACCCCCCCCCCCCCCCCCCC